TCACTGGAAACCATGAAGGTTTCCTGGTGTCATGGTTTGACACTGTCCAAACACCAGGCACCAACAACAGCCCCTCGCTCACCTTCCCCTGCCACAGCTGGGCAGAGGAGAGAAAAAAAAAATAAATGAAGGGTTCATGAGTTTAGGAGGACTGGGAGCAAACACTCCATGGGCAAAACAGGCTTAACTTAGAAGTGCAAAGGGAAATTATTACTAACAAAGTCAGAGAAGGATAATGAGAAATAAAATAAGCCCCTAAAAACACCTTTTCTTCCCCCAGCCCCTCCCTTCTTCCCACCAGTGATGCAGGGAGATGGGGGGTGGGGGTTTGGTCAGTGCATCACCACTGCTCAGGGAGAGGAGTCCTTCCCCTGTGAGACCGTGGGGTCCCTTCCCACAGGAGACAGTTCTCCATCAACTTCTCCAGTGTGGTTCCAATCCCATGAGCAGCAGTGCTCCCAAAACTGCTGCAATGTGAGTCCCTCCCATGGGCAAACAATCCTCCCAAAACTGCTGCAATGTGAGTCCCTCCCACATACCTATGTCTGCCATATGAGTCCCTCCCACACCATCCTCCCATGGGGTGTCCTCCCTTTGCAACATGGGTCACTGTCCCATGGAGTGCATCCTCCAAGGACAGGCTGCTCCAGCCTGGAAGCAGAGCCCCATCTCTGCACTGGGTCTCCCACTGGATCACAGCCTCCTCCAGGCATCCACCTGCTCCAGTCTGGGCACCTCCCCCAGGGGCTGTGGGGGGATCTCTGCATCCCCCATGGATCCCCAGGGGCTGTGGGGGGATCTCTGCATCCCCCATGGATCCCCAGGGGCTGTGGGTGGATCTCTGCATCTCCCATGGATCTCCATGGGCTGTGGGGGGATCTCTGCATCCCCCATGGATCCCCATGGGCTGTGGGGGGATCTCTGCATCCCCCATGGATCTCCAGGGGCTGTGGGGGGATCTCTGCATCCCCCATGGATCCCCAGGGGCTGTGGGTGGATCTCTGCATCCCCCATGGATCTCCATGGGCTGCAGGGGCACAGCTGCTTCATCACCAGAGCCTGTGGAGGAATCTGAGCTCTGGTGCCTGGAACACCTCCTGCCCCTCCTTCTCCACTGACCTTGGTGTGTCCATGTTGTTTCCCTCACATGTTCTCACCCCCTCCTCTTCTCTGGCTAGAAAAAACTGTACCCCACTTTGTTTTGATTTTCTTCTTAAATATGTTGTCACAGAGGCAACATTTACAATTCACAGTTACCAATCATCTCTCACTGGCCCAGCCTTGGCCAGCAGCATGACCATCTTCAGATTCCATCAGGGATTGGCTCTGCTGGATGTGGTGGAAGCTTCCAGCAGCTTCTCACAGCAGCCACCTCTGTGTCCCCCCAACCCCCTGCTAGCAAAGACCAGGCCAAGCACAACCAGCACACCTGGGTTTGGTTTTGGCTCTAGGTTACATTTGGTTGGAGTTTCTCATGTTCCTAAAAATACATTGCCATTAGAGAGGATGATTAACTGTCCTCATTATGAATGAAAGAACCTTGACTTTATTTGGCTGTTTGAGGTCTTGTGCATCTGCTTCCTTGAGGGGTGATATTTCTCATAAACTAAATGGCAAGTGGTGCTTCTTTCATTGTAACAGGGGTTTGCCCCCTTGATTCAAATAACTTGTCAGAGGTATGAAAGTACGGATTCCTCGACTAGAGAATTGATTGCATAGAATGTTTTGGCTCTCATGAGATTTGGTACCTTGTTATTTTCTGTGCATTATGTGCCTTTACTGTCCATACCATACCCATGCAGTTTTTGATGCAGCACAAGAGTATTCTAGTTACTGTGGCATGTCAAATTAATAGGAAAATAAGAGAACAGTGTGATCAGTTGACACAGTGGCAATAGTATGAAAAAACAGGGCCTTGGAAGATTGTATCTGTATCATCCAGACTAACATCATACAGTAGATAAGAAGTTACAAGGTGAAAATGTAGCTCATTCAAACCACTGGGAATTTTGTGAGGATTTAAAATACAGTTTTCTCCTTTAGGATATTACAATTGAGAAGAGGTCATCACGTAGAGAGGCTGGCCAGTGGAAAATTTTGGCAGCTGTATGAATTATTAGATTGTTGAAGAGGTATTTCTTTTTATGGGCATATGCCCATTAGAAGAACAAATTGAAGGGATTTGAAAATACTGATTTGCAGTCCATTATATTCAAATTATAAATGCAGTATCAAGAAGTTAAAATCCAGAAAATATTGAAAGGTATGTAAGCTATGTAAAAGCTATATAATAAATAACATTTGAGTGGTTTAACTGATGTGGTAATACCTTGAAAAGAAAAATAAAATTAAAAAAATGAGAACACCTTAGATGTAAAACTCAGAAGGAGGGCCTGTATTCAGTGACACTTGAAACAGTTGTATCCTAGCAATTCCAGTTAATAATAATAATAAACATAACGAGTTAAGATGTAGTAGTTAAATGAGCCATAAAAATGAAGAGTCCATAATTTGTATGATATTGTGTCAGGTAATCGGATTAAAATAAACTAATGTTTGCATTTATTTGTGTTTAGGAGAAAATGAAGTGTAGCTGAGTGCTGCTACATACATTCCATCCTGGAATGAAAATCATATTGTTTTGACTGCGTTATTTCTATATCCATGCAAACCATCCTCATCACTCTATAGTTTTTACCTCCTTAATGCAAATGGGGTTGTGTCATTTGAAATTAGGGGCTATAAGGCCCCTTGGAGAGTTAAAGAGGAGCAGCAATTTGTAAAAAAATGAAATGCAGCAGTCAGATTTAGGAAGAAAGGGCATTTTCCTGGTAAATGTTTTCGTAAGTGGGAATTTTTCACTGTGGTGTTTTGCTCATGTGTTTGGCAGTCACTTGGAATCAAGTGCAGACTTAAGCTACATTGTGGGCTTGGCAATGACAATTTGTGTGTGTGTGGTGCTTTAGTTATATTAGCCCTGGAGGCAGAGTTAACACTTGCAGTGGGACAAGAGTATTTGCAGTCATCAGAGAACTTTGCAGTCAGCTTCAATAACATCACTCCATTTTTTTCACTTTTTTTTAACATTTTTTTTGGCAGCAAAGCACTTAGTAGAACCATCTGTCTTTCTATTAGTGTTTTTGAGTCCTGTTTTGAAGCTTCTTCGCTTGGCAAAGTCGCTTTCATCCTTGGAAACCATTTAAAAAAAAAGTTCTGTGGCTTTTTGCCGAAGAAGAGTACTATGCAAAAATTCCGCATGGCTGTTCATTTTTGTTCTAAAAGAATACAGTTACTTTGTCTTTGTCTTAAAAAAAACAAACAAAAAACCCAACCCCCCCCCAAAAAAACCAAAAATAAAAAAAAAAACAAAAAAACTCCACAAAACCTCAAACAAACAAAAAAGCACATGAAGAAAAGACAGGTATTGGACAGCTCTAGGATAATTGTGTGCAGATAGAGAACCAATCACATTTTATGGGGGTTTTTTTCTCCCATAATTCAGTTGAAAATATGTATGCCTTCTAATTATAACAGGATCAGAATATAAAGAAAAATATTGAAGTAACAAAAAATGGATCAAACTATGATCCATCCACAGTGAGAGCTACATCTACTCTATCTTCAGCCCCAATCCTAATCTCCCACTGCAAGAATTTCTGTCAAACAGTGCTCTTGAATCCATCCTTGAAAATTGTTTCAGACAATAAGGATGCACTCAGCACACACAGGGGTGTTGACAGCTCCCAGCATAAATTAAAAGGGATGGCAATCTCAAATTTTTATTAGTACTATGCCTGGTAATGGCGTTGGGTGAACCAAGACATGGCCTGGTTTTTAAGGAGATTAAATGAAAATAAAGTTAGGTGCAAATGGTGTAATCTGAGCAGTGGCAGCCAAGGACTGGTGCAGGTTCTCTTTTGCCAATTCTGTTGTCCAGGCAGTAATGAAGGGAGTAACACCTTCTTGCACCCCTCAGCATAGAAGGTTGTGTATTGATACTCTAATTGTCTGAGTTACTTAAGGCTACAGACCACAAACTAAATCACAGTTTTCAAAAGCGTATCTATCCCCAAAGCCTCAGCTTTACGGCGCCATTAAAAATCTAGATGAGCTCTCTCAAAAACAGAGACAAGTCTTTCTTTACTGACTGATCCGGTCAATACAGTGGGGGTTTTAAATTGAAACTAGTCATTTAGCATTTTAATCCAGCAAACTTTGGGTTTCTCATCTGCGTGAAATACAGAGACAACTTCCATTTCTAGCAATTAAAAAGTATTAACGGAACTGGGTGAAAGCAACAGCAGTAGACATTGTGCCGTGGCCCACTTCCAGCTTGGATGACTAATTTCTGCATGTCTTAAGTCCCCTGCAGTATCCACTTACAATATAATATTTTCCACTTCCTGACTTGCATGGTTGTGTAGAGTTGCTGTGCAAAGTTGAGCGCCTAGCACTTCAGACATAGCTGTTCTATTTGTTTTATTTGTGAATAAAGTGTCTCAGCCTTTTTTTTGACCGTCCTGGAGACTTTATCTTTTCACATGTGCAAGTAAGTGCATGTGTATGAGCACAAAAGTAGTACTGGCTGTGCTGTGTGCTACATATGCACTTGTTTTTCCTTCTGAGGAGGTGTCTTTGTGTTTGAGCTTAGAGTGAAAGCTGCTGTCCGAGACAGATACTGCTACACAGTTCAGTAAAAGAGAAGAAAGTACCCCACTACAGTCAGAGATAAGCAAGTCATCTTGAACTTTGGGGGAACAGCTAAGTGGGATGTAGATATACCTTTGTGAAATATTTCAGTTTATTTTGGATTAATGTAATTCATATGAAGTGTTTGGTGATGGAGATGAAGCTCGACAGTTGATGCTGCTGGAACACCCCAATGTGAAGAGGTGTATTCAAACCAGACCTCTCAGATCAGAAGTGAAAGAAAGCATATTACCAGACATTGTCCCCCCCAAAAAAATTCTGTGTTTGATTTTCCCTCTCCTGTTCAGCAGGTCCAGGGTCAGCTGCCTCCATTAATGATTCCCGTATTCCCTCCAGACCAACGAACCCTAGCAGCAGCTGCACAGCAAGGATTCCTTCTTCCTCCTGGTTTCAGCTACAAGGCGGGATGCAGTAAGTCCTGTAGATTTTTTTAGCTGCAAGTGGTTATAGGGCACAATTTCATGCCAGTCTGTATAAAAATAATACCTCATCAATGGAGAAAGCCATTAACTTGCAGAGATGAGTGTAAAACAGAGGATTAGTTGTTACAGTATGAGAAAAGCTTGTCAGAGATGAAGAATGTGTTTCAACATAACAGCCAAACATCTCACACAAGAGGTAGATTTGTGCACCTTCTCTCTGACAGGTCTTTCTGACAAGTGAACATGTTCATGACCACAAACTTGCATCTGAAGAGAAGCTATTTGAAACTTCCCAATAAATTTCAACACTGTTGTAAGAAAACATGTTTTTTCCCCAAGCAGACTGATTGCTATTTGTGAACTGAGGGCCTATTCTTCACACAGAACTCACATTAATCTCAACAGAGGTTCTGAACAGAGATCAAAGATAGCATATGCCTTTCAGTTTGATGGACTAACACAAACTCTGAGGATATTTGTAAGAGCCTAACACTAAAAAATATAGCATCTACTTTTTTAATCTTTGAAAGATTTGTATTGTTCTTTACACTCTGTAGATTTTTTTTTTTTAAAAAAATTATTTAAGCCTTCTATAGGATTTCATGTTCCTGTCAACATGCTGAGAATAAATTCAAGTTAAGAAATAATGAAGGAACTTTATTTCCGTGAATAAACTTACCTAGAACATGAATTTCATAGACTTGTTTTCATGCACTTGTATAACTCTTCTGCCATCAGTTTTCTACTCAGTTATCCAGGGCTTGCTTGTTCTGCCCTTCTCTGTCTCTAGAATTGGTGTTTGTTATGTCCGTGTCACTGTATCCATCTGTATCATTGACTAACTCATTAATTCATCAGTTGGTTTGAGTTACTTGACACTGCTGCATTTTTGTAAACCTAGCACATAAAAAAGATATCTTTAGTTAAGCTGGCTTAGCCCACAATTTCAGATTTCTTTCAGCTTCTGAACATCATAGACACAGTACTTGAGGACTCAGTTTCTTTGGCCACTAACAACTTTTCCTGATATTTTAAGACTGGGACCACTATTGAAAAGTACTGCTCCAGAAACTTCACATCCCTTAGCAGCTGCAGTGCCAAAACATAGTCTCATTCAGTTCTTCCAGTGATTTCACACTCAGTCTCTCTCGACTGGGAGAAGCAGTGATTCACATTACAGAATGTGTAACTGTAAGCCACACTGAATATGAATGCTACCATAACTGTAGGTCTGGAAAAGGTCAGGAAAGCACTGTTAGACATATCTGGCAGATTTCATTAGTTCCATGTTAATGAAGTCCAGTTTGGATAGGGGTTGAGGTGTTTTTTTCCCTTCTTTATACTACGTGCACATTAGCTCCATGATAATTCTGTAGTTCCTCACATCTATGAAATGGATATGACATTACATGTTTGTGTAACCTTGAAAATTAAAAGGCAAAAAGAGCAAAGTTTCTGCTGCTTCTGGCAGTAAGGCTTGGAATTAACATTATGCCAAGATGTAGGACTGAGCAGAAGCCAGTGGAAAAAGACAGCTCTGTGTTTGGTGATTGCCTGGCATGTTTGGCTGAATTTGACTGAGAAGCTGAGGAGAAGTGATAAGTAGTCCAAAGGGTTTCCTTCCACTCACCATCTAGTGTAAACAAAAACACACACATTTACTACACCTAGAAAGCTTCACCCAGCTGCCTTACACCTATTCCTTCAAACCATAATATGTCCACATCAAGTAATGTTTTTGACAGTCTATTAAAACATATTTTTCCCATTTTTTTTCTTGCCCTACTGCATGTCAGTCCCCTTGGCAAAGGGGACTGTAAACCAGAGAGCTTTGGATAAAATTTTGTTAAGTGTCTGAGTGATTTAGGAGACTAAACCTTTCTTTTAAGAGTGACAAAGACACTAGGATCTAAGTCTTAGGGGTATTTACCAAATTCTTCTACAGCAAACTTAGTGCAGTCACCTTTGCTGGTTTGAACTGAGCTGAAGTGGGTTGTTGTAGTACCAGTATTGCAACAGAGAATGTACAGCAGATTAATTTTCTCAGCATCTAAATGTGTTAAATGCCCAATTTTCACTGAGTTTGCTTTTGGGAGCAAAGCCTTTCTAGGAACTTCTGAAGACCCCAGTAGCATCATCTGTACATGGCTGCCATTCTGTGTTTTAAAATTAATTTATGTGCCAGATGAAAATGAGATCTCACTTCTGCATCTTCGCAGTCCTTTTGGAAAACCTACCCTTCTTTCTGCACTGATTACATTTTTCAGAATTGTTTTCTGTGGCTGATGGATAGAAATTCTCTAGTGATGATTCTATTATTTATTAGCATTAACAACCTGCACATGGGAATGATAAAAAAACTCCATGTGACAATTCAGTTTCAGTCACAAAGAACAAAAAACTCTGAAAGTTTTCACATACTGTTCCTCAAAAAAAATGAGATTGGAAAATTTGGGGAAAAAAAGGAAGAGAGAACTATTGCAACAAACAATATTTTCATAACTAGCTAGTGATGCAGAGTTCCTTGACTTTGAATATCTGTTGGAGACACTTTCAAAGGGACATTTATACTGTTCTGCACCCTGCCCCTGTGAGAAGTCAGACCTCCAAAATGGGACTAATGGGCCAAGCTTCTTGATTAAAGATTCTCAGACTTGCTTCTGTCCAGGCTGGGACAACAAGGACTTTCTGTTAAAATTGTTCAAGCTATGGTGGTTCTTTTTCATGGAAACATGTTGGGGAGGGATTAAAGAAGCAGCCTGGTCACAGAGTAACCTTTAGCAGGGGACTGTGGTTGGAGCTGGTGGGTTCCAGCTATAGCTGGAAGAGAAAGTGTAATCCAGCCTCAGGGTCAGCAAAAGAGAAGAAATGATGAATAGTTGTACTGCTAGTTTATTTTCATTCAGCTTAGATAATAAAACCTAATTAACTTATTCAGTGCTTTCTGATTCACCTGTACCTCCCAAGAGAGCATCAAATGTAAGTCTCCCAGTGGTTTCAGAGTGTGTCTGTAGGAGGATTTCCTCAGGCAGTGCTCACCAAAGCACTCGTGACTTACCAGACAGAGGCTGGAAAGGAAGAGTGCTGTTTTCCCTACACATACTTTGTTTTCTGAGCATTCAAGCTGAAGATAACACAAAAATAATTTTAACAGTTAACAGCAGTGGTCCATTTAGACTCCTGTCATGGCAGATACCTAAGGAACACTAGAAGAGCAAGGCAGAAGTGTACTGATACTTTATCACCCATCCTTTGCCAGGTTCCAGGGACTGAGGACTCAGGGACCTTCTAACCCAGTGGTGGCATCATTCTGTGATACGTTATTGAAAACAAAGAGTTTTTCTCTGCTTGTTTCCAGCCTGATTGAAAACATTCTAGAGAGATGAAATGCTAAAAAAAATACAGCAATATCAGTCTCTATTATGTGCAGAGCAAATGATTCAATTATGCTTTTCCAAATATTTTTCAAAATTGGGTAAATAAAGGGAGGAGAGGGGTAAATATTTTCTCTGTGGTTACATGGCAGGTCATGGTCTTTGGCTTCCAATTTGATGTACTACATATCCTTTTCTTTCTTTTTCTCCATAGCAGATCACGCTTGGGAGTGGCTTGGGTTTTCATTTTGTTTTGTTTTTTTAAACAGATGGTTTGCATTACATAAGGGACAATTTACACAAGTTGACACTTCCCCTTTTTTCTCTATGGCATATTGTGTGGTGGTAAAGTTGGCAGAGATGAAGGGAAGAACTTCTATTAGGATTATATCTCAATTTGAGAAAAAGATTCATAATCTGTGGTTCCAGTTAATGTTTTTTTTAACCTCCATACCTAGATAAAATTGCCTGTATAAAATATTTAGAATTATTGTTTACAACCGAGGTTCTTTTACTTATGAAAAAAATAAGTTGGCAGTATGTGATGGGCTATATTGTCCCCAGTTAGCAAGGTAAATTCTGATTACATACTTACTAGCCCTATACTTACTTATTCATGCAGTATGTGCTATTTGAAATTTAAATTTTTCATGCAAACATCTTTATATGTATTTTATTATATGCATAATATGTAATTTTTAGATAAATATATAATGCACATCTTTTTATTTAAGAGCTGATGTTTCAAGGTTAGTTGTTAACTAAGTTAGTGAGTGGCAGCATGAGCAAATTTTAGGAGTTGACTGCCGTATCCCAGCTATTTAAACTGGTTTTAGCAGCAGGTGAGCACCTTCCATTTCAACTGATGCTGAAATCAAACAGGGGCTGATTACTGCATTTCCCAAAGCTTCATTTGGGCTCCACAGATGGGCTCAGGTCATTTAACCCTTCCTTTCTTCTCATCCCATAACCTTATCACTCGTTATTCCTGCTGTTGCTAGTTCAGCTGTACTTATGGTACTTACCAGATAATAGACACAACTCCCAGGATTTTAGCAATGGCAAGGGAAATGTCAGCTCTGCTGGGGTCTGAGGAGCTGTTGCTGTTGACTTCACTGAAGTCAAATTTCACACCAGATGATACAGATCTGCTAGGGCCACTCTTAGAAATAATTAGAATTTATTTAGTGCTAATTAATATTTGAGAAGTGCTTTGAAAGCATAAAAATGGTGCAAGTGATAGAAGAGAAGAAGTTCTGTATTGTGCCCTTTAAAAACTGCATAGTTCTGCCCCTGAGCAAGCTGCTCGTCAGTCGTAGGTAGTATGATCTTTTTATTAATGCACATATGTATGGATTTGTATGTGGAATATTAAGGCATGGCTGTATCTCCTGTATAAGAGATACTAAAGGGAATGAAATAAAGGTTTGGGAAAGCACGGAGGACTGCTTCTGGGGACTGAGATACAAAAAAGGCAGAAGGAGTTAGGATGAGAAAAGTGTTCTCTGGTTCCTTTTAACTAATCTAAGCATCAGCATGGACCAGGTCAGAATGTTTCAATGCTTCTCCATTTGCAGCACTGCACAGAGTGGCCCAAACTTGGATGGATCTTCCCTATTTAGTGATGCTAAGCAAGAT